TTAACTACTTCAACCTATGCATAGCATGCGAACGAGGGGGGCGTCTCACACCCCAATAAAAAAGTCCTTAGTTAAAGATATATATGGTTTCGATGGGTGATCATACCCCAACATTTTAAGGCCAGCCAGGTCAGATTACACAAAGATTTAGACCCCCAGCCTTTATAGGGTTAAAACAAGTTCAATATTCTGTCGGTTTCCTACTTGCTTTCTAATGCATAGATCATTTAGTCACCTTTTCAGAGGAGCCATGCTTGGAAATTAATAACTTTTAAATGGAAAAATAAGAAGTTTCTTTGATTAGAAAATGGGTTCAAAATTATGTTTTTATATTGCAAATTGGGCATACACCACTTTGGTGGAGGGTCAAAATAGTCGCTTCAAAACGGAATTTAATTCAACAATTTTTTTTAAAAAATGATACAGTATTTTATATAAATTACATAAGTACCCAATAAATATATCAAGACAATTTTTAGAGTCCTTCTCTTTTCTGTATTTATTTATATTTGTACAATAATATAGATCATATTATTTAGGCAGTCTATCATAGGTCAGATTGGTAATCACTTCAGAAATTAAAAGTATTAATCTGTATATTTAGGATTGTTGCTATACAGTTTGACTAATTAAAGTTTGTTTGATTTATCCATGTTCAGCTGTTCTTTCAGGCACTCAATTGCTTAAGATAAAAATATTCAAATTAATATAATTTGAAAAACAAAACTTTCTTGTTTTTTTTTTCCTTTTAAGAAATAACAAGAGAAGAAAGATAAAAAAGAAATAAATTAAAATGAAATGTGAAATTTGTGAATATCTTTCTTGCATCGTTTCTATGCATAATGTTTCACATTATGTACAAAGTTGTAGATAATATTTCAGATAATATGATCTTCTTGAGAGCGGCCTTTTTTCATTGATAAACCTCTGCTCCTCCAAATAAAAAAGTGGTCTGAAAAAGTTAAGCATATGGAATCATTCTGCAATGTCACTCTTTCCGTCAGAATTTTCACAGACATGATCTATCTTTCTCTATATGTCAAGACAGAATTATCTTTTTGTTTAGTGGACTTAAACATTTAATTGCTAAGACATTGATTGTTATTAGATTTCTAAAACTCAGCTTTAGTATAAATATTCCTGATGAACCATTGGATTGTATTCCAATTCTTCTGCTCTTCTTCTTCAGTACAATCACCTAATGCACTTCCTAAATAGTTAGGGCTGGGCAATTCAGTGTTTTAGTTGAATGTTAAAATGTTGAGTTTTCACCATTTACAATTTTTTTGACTTGGTTTTACGAAATTGAACCCATTCCTACCTATAGTTAAAAAGAGTCCAAAGACTACAATTTGAGTATAGAGCATTGTAAGCTGGAAATTTGGAAACACAGTCAAAATTATATCATTAAGAAGTTTGCAGTTTTATCTTCTTTCAGCATTATGTAAATGAAAATAGTTGGAGAGACCTTTTGCTCCATTTCTTACATGGTTAGAAATCATGTGAAGTAAAAGTTTAAAAGATTTAATTTGATAAGAAATCTATCCTCTACAAAGTAGGGTTATAGCATTACTTTCCTGAGGATCTGAAGACCTTAAACTCTGTACTAGTATTGAATGTTTCATGTGATCATTTTTCCTCAATTATTGACTTTAAAGGGTAATAGTATACGGTGTGTCCCGTAATAAACATTAATTTCTAAAGCTGGGAATTTCAAAATTGTCTAATATTGCTAAGAAATCTCATGCCCCCCCTCCCCCCCCTAGAAAATATCTTTTGAGTTCAGGTACTGGGTTAAAATGCATATTCATAACCTAATTTATCAAGGCCAGCTCATTGACAAATAAATGTGACAGTTTGGGTGCTAAGGAGGTTTAAAATATGCCAAGAAAATGGTAAAAAAAACAAAGAAAAAAATATATTTCTGGTTTAGACAAATATCAATGTTTCTAAATCTATTTTAGATCTGTAGCTTTAGCCACGAAAAAGTTACGGGCTTTTATAGATTTGTTTTGATATGGACTGGACTTTTTATTGCCCTGTACCCTACCCTAGCATAAGAAAAATCCTTTTAATTTCTATTTATTAAAAGTCAACAAATTTTCAAAAATGAGTGTTTCGTGACCAAGTCTAGCTGCTTTAAATATCATAAAATATCATAATCTTGTCATACTCTGCTATGGGGTTTTAATTGGAACCAGGACTATGTCTCAGATCTCTAGGGAAAAAAACTACTTTTGTTAAGCTCACTCCCTCTGTGATAACTGTGCTTTGAATAGTACCAGCTACAGGTTCAATCTGTAAATGACTGCCCGATTAGTTTATTTATAACTGTAAAAATACAACATGCAGAGGAGAGAATATATACAAAATTAGTTAATGGAAAAAAAATCTTTACTAGCTCAAATATACAATTAACTCTAACATGGATTAATTTGAATTTAATTTGAACAAATGCTAGGATAAAAGATCAATTCTCATATGAAAGAATGTAATAATGCTTAAATAATACCTTTATGTGGCATAAGCAGATCATAACAATAATACTTTTGTATCAAATATCAAGTGGACTGATGATTGCTGCACTACAGACTTGTTCCCCCCCCCCCTAGACTTCAGGGGTTTCGCATCTTTTGCATGAAGAACTCAGGGGTGAGGGAATCCAAAAGGTGACGATTTTGTTGAGTAACAATGAGAGTGGTAGGACTTAAAAAACTATTAAGTATAATTTCAATTAGACAAGCTGGGCATAATTTAAAAGGCATGACAATGGAAAATTATTATCATTACAATATTAATCTATGTTAATTTCATGATGTGCATTTATGTTGTAATTCTCTGTTTCTTGGTACAAACAGTTCATGCAATAAGTCCCAAATTTTCTTTATTACCTAAATTGCTGAAAAGAATTAAATTGTCCTAAAAGATTTAATTGTTATCTTGGAATGTCCCCCCCCCCCTCTCATCTTCCTCTCTTAGCCAAATAACAGTTGCACTTCATACATATTTGGGACACCTCTATAGTCTTTACATAACCAGTAAAAAACCATACTAATAATTTAAATCTTTTTTAGTAGCTACTTAATCTAATAAAATAAAATGCATTTGATGCACATTGCACTTGATGCAATCAATCTAAAATTAAATCAAACAAAAAATACCTAACTGTTACTTCTATTGTTATTGAATTTGAAACTTTTAAAATTTTAATTTAGTCTAAAATATTGTTATTTGTATGAGTTTCATTCAGATAACTTCTCTCCTGGAACAGAGACAGAATTTAAAATGGTCACAAAAAAGTACTAACATTTCTGAAAAGAGAAAAATGTAGAGCTTAATTAAAATTGCTGAGGTCACATTTTTATTTTTCAATTTAGAAGGAAAAACCGTTTGCATATTCTTAGTTCCGAATAGTTAAAGCTACAATTTTAAATCAAACTTTAATTACTTAACCCCCTACAAATCAATAATTTCAAATTTTAAATTATCATTGATTTAATTTAAGAATATGTCACATTTTAGAAGAAAAGTTTGGAGCATGTTGCGATTTTGAGACATTTCACAGATTTGAATTAATGATACTTTTCAAGCATTTACACAACTTAGTAACAATACAACTTTTTTGCATTTGGTTTAATTCAAATAGTGAAGAAGTAAAAATATA